GGGGTGGGGTGGGGTGGTGCACCCCTGTGCGTGCATGCACAGGGGCACACGGGCGTCCGTGCACACGTGGGGGTGTCCGTGTGTGTTCCCGCAGCTGGGAGGCATCTTCTCTAAGTGCAAAGACACGAGGCACCCGGGGCCGTGCAGATGGCGGTGCCCCCTTAGGAGCACTTTAGCCCCATTAGCAGCCCTGGCAGGGCCACCTGAGCCCCCGCTGCAGCCCCCCGCGGCCCCATTTTTTTGTGTTGGCAGTGAGCAGGGGCTGCCTAAGGCAGGGCTGGCCCCGGCCGCTCTCCGAGGGGCCCCCTGCCTCCGTGCTATCACAGCTCACCAGCTCCCCACCACAGCTGCGATCAGGTTTATTTTCAGCAGAGAAGTGTGAGTCATTTCATGATTTAAAAGAAAGAAAAAAACCCACAACCCACAAATTAAAAAACCCAGATTTTTTTTCTTAAAAAAACCCATCAGAGTATTCATTTTCTAATCCCAGCGTGACAGCTTTTTGGTGGGGTCCTGCGAGCCGGGTGGTGGGCAGTCACCCCCAGCGCCACGATGGGCACAGTGCCCTGTCCACGTGCATGATGCTGAGCCCCGGCAGCTGGGCAGGGCCAGCAGGTCTCTACAGCACAGGCCATGGCGGTGGCCCTGGGACTGTGCCCCCTGAGCTGGGGACACCACACCAGCACCTGATGGGCAGGGGACACAGCACTGCCAGCCTGGGAGGGAGCGGGAGGAGGCAGCTGCAGGGTGTCACGGCCCCTGCACCAACAACCCGCCACGAGGGGAAACTGAGGCACAATGGCTTTAAACACACCAGCGCTGGCCAGGCGTGGCCCTGCGCCCTGCCAGGCACCATAACCGGCATGTTACCCTGAGGCACAGTACCCAGAGGCACGATACCCAGCGGCACGGTACCCAGGGGCACAGTACATGGAGGTGCAGTATCCAGAAGTGCAGTACCCAGAGGTGTGGTACCCGGAGGCGCAGTACCCAGAGGCATGACATCCAAGGAAGCACAACACCCAGAAGTACAGTAACCAAAGGCATGACACCCGAGGAGACCCGATACCCAGAGGCACAGTATCCAAGAAGCATGATCTGTGGAGGCATGACACCCCAGGAGGATGGAAACCCAGGAGGCATGATACCCAGAGGCAAAACATCTGAGGAGCCACAATACCCAGAGTCAAGATGCACAAGGATGCACAATACTCAAGGAAGCACAGTACCCAGTGGCACGAAATCCCAAGGCATGATATCCCAGGAGGCAAAATATCCCAAGGCATGATATCCCAGGAGGCACAATACCCAGTGACATGACATCCAAGGAGGCATGACACCCAGAAGCATAATACATGGAGACACAACAACCAAGGAGGCATGACAGCCAAACACCTGATACCCAAGGAGGTGCGATACCCAGAGGCACAATACCCATGGAGACACAGTACGATATCCAAGGAGGTGCCGTACCTGGGGGTGTGACACCCGAGGACGTGCAATACCAGAGGAAGCACAACACCCAAGGAGATGCAACACCCAGAGGGGTGATACCCAGACAGGAGGGTGGCCAACCCCTGTGCCTCCAGTGCCATGGGGGCTCCTCGGGGCCACCTGGAGGCAGGGCCAGCCCGATGCTGTGGCTGGCCATGGGCTCTGGGGTGAGCAAGCAGAGCACCCACTTTCCTGCAGCCCGGCTGCCCAGCCAGCACCCCCCAACACCAGGACTGGGAGCCCTGTGCCAGGCCACGGGGATGCTGGGCCAGCAGGAGTCCCGGGTTCTGCCACGGCTGGCTGGGCTGGACGGGGGCTCCCCCCTCCCCATCCGTGTGCCCAACACTGGGAATTTGTTTGCTGCAAAGGGAAGGCCGCCGTGGTGCTGCTGGGGCTGCAGGAGGACAAAAGCCCTTTCATGCCGGCCATGCCACCCTGGGGTGTGGAGCAGAGCTGCCAGCACAGCGCGGAGCTGGAGGGGGGCACTGTCCCAGGGCCCCCCACCCACCAGGCAGCACTTCCCACTCCTGATGTAACTTCAAGCCCTGGCACGAGGGGTGCCACGCGGCCCTGACTCAGAGCACCCACTGACTCACAGCATCTCCACAGCATCACACCAGGGCCACAGCATCACACCAGGCCGGCTGCTTGCCGGCACCGGCACCCCGGAGTGCCGCCGGGGAGAGGGGAGAGCGCAGGGGTGGCTGCCAGGGCCACAGCACTTCGTCTGTGTGAGGGTGGCAACTGCCCCACGGGAGAGCATGCCCAAAGCACCCAGCACCGCTCAGCACACCAACAGCAACTCACCTCCTCCTGCTGCTGAATCACCTCCCACGAACAGACAGATGGACAGAGGGATGGACGAAGTGATGGATGGCAGCCCCCAGCCCTGTGCTCAGCCACAGCCACTCCGGGTGCCTGCGACTGTCTCCAGGCTGGCAGAGGGGCCGTGGCGAGGGCCGGACAAGGCCAGGGAGAGCGTGGCGGCTCAGTGCCGGGGCCAGGATGCCGAGTGTGGCACAGCCTGGCTCCCTGCTGACTTGTCGGCACAAATGTTTCAGCAGGGGATGAGTGCCGCCACGGGGGAGGTGGAGCCGGGGACAGCCAGCCACAACCGCGGCGGCCGCCTGCGCAC